GTACTTCAGGGGGAGGGACAGCATTCTAGGAAAGGTGGGAAGCCCTGTGGGCAGAATGAACTCTGAGGTGACAGATACCCTTCAAGGGTTGGGCTACCAGCACCCTACTGAAAGGGCCACAGTCTTGGCCTCACTTGGGATCCAGGTTCTCCACAGGAAAGGGACACAAAAGCCTCTGTTTGTTCTCAGAACCTGCAATGGTCTATTTTGCTAAGTCTCCCCACTAGGCTAGAATCATAAGGTCTTAAAGAGTGTCAGGCCTGCTTTTCCTGGCATTTCCAGCAAATCTTGAACAATTCTCTGTGCTTGTTGAACACACTTGCTTTTCCCTATGCCCAGCTTCTCAGCTTGTCAAGCTCTGTAGAACCCCCAGCAGCTAGATTCACAACAAAGACCAGAAGAAGCAAGAATACCCCTGAAGTGGACAGAAAAGACACCCTGAGAATGGTTACTGCAAGTTTTCAAAGAAAATCCCTCTAAAATAGATAAATGTTTGGTAATTTCATTTTTGTTTAGATAAGGTCTTACTCTGTAGCTCAGGCTGCCCCAGAACTCAGAGGAATCCTCCTGCCTCAGCCTCCCAGGTGCTGCAATTATAGGTATGAACGGATTACATACAGATTACAGTTGTCTCTTTGCAAAGTTATAATGAAGAGGAAACCATGGGTCAGCAATGCCAGGAATGCAAAAAAGTCAGAAAAATGTAAAAAAAGAGCAGGAGCAATCCACATAGCTTTCCCACAATAAAGGAATACATCTGGGGAGGTCACTTGAACTTCCCTGAAGTCACCAAATCTACCTCAAACATGACCTCAGCTGCCCTAATAGCTCCTGCTGCTCAGGCTGTGCCCCTGCTGCTTTCTGAGAGACTTGGAGGTGGATGCCCACACAGGGCGCTGACATGCTGCCCCAACCGAGTGTCCCAGGTCATACTCATAGTACCATGTGCACATCCACAGCAAGGGACAGTACCCTCTTGTGCTTCTAAGTCGTCACCTAAGATGTGCTGGGTGGATGGCGAACCTTGAAACGCCATCAGGAGCTTCACTCATTTTTACTTCAAAAGCAGGGTCATAAAAATCCGTGACGATTAGAGCCCCAGCTGTCCTAAGTTGTTTATCAAGGAAACCATTCCTCAAGTCCTATAGAGCAAACAAGTGTAGGCAGGAAGCCATGGGAGCTGAGAAGTGCAAAGGTCTCATCTCTGAAAACTTCCAGACTCCCTCCTGTTTACCACCTGGATTGCCTTCTCCTCCCCTCCCCCAGTTCCAGCATCTCTTCTCCAGAGAACAGATCAGATTTTCCAGATTTACTCTGGTGCCAAGGACTCAGCGCTGTCTGCTTCACCCTGCCCCCACCAACTCAGAAATCCAACACCATGACCCAAATGGACCACAGCCACAGAACACCACAAAGGAAAGTTTATAAAGCTTTATTAAACATTTCAAACAGCTGTGGAATGAACACACCAGAAATCAAAGCTTCACAATAGCAGTCTGAGTGTTTCACAGGTGTGGCCTCCAAGTCCCACTCCCCAGATGTCTGCTTCCAGCTTTGCCCTGTGCCTGCCCCACCAATGCCACTGCCACAGGAGAGAGAGGGAGAGACATTTCTGACTGGAAGGACAACCATGCTGATCCCAGGTTGGCAGGGGCCAGGAGAAAGTCTCACTTGCAAACACTTGTTTCTGAAGCTCAGAGAGAAGCAAACATGTACAAAGTCACCAAGTGCTCTTCCTGTGTATTCTTCATAGTGTACAGTCTACATGCGCAGGAATGAAGAGGCTTCTGGTGGGAGGATGATGGTGTTGCTCCCCTGGGTTTTGTCTGAACCTCCTTGCGAGTCAACTTTGCTGGTCACTCTGCAATCCCCATGCTGAGTAAAAACTGCAGGAGGACCTACTACAGCTAGCTACTAAACCTCAGAATCACGCTCAGTAAAGCTTTTTCAAAAGGAATATACACATGTATTTGTATGTAAATACACATACTCTCACACACACACACACACACACACTCATATGTACATCCACGCTGACACAAGTGCACACACACATACAGTGCACATCATAAAATATCCAAACACCTATCAAGGGAACCATGGCTGCTATGAAACATGTAATACTTTCCCATTCCCTCAGCCAGGGACCACTGGGTCTACGAGAATCCTGCACATCTCCCTCCTGAAGAGCATGCACTGGAGACAGGAGGCAGTCCCTTTAGGCTGGCTGAGAAAGGCAGGAGGAAGAGCAAAGGGAGAGAGAGGCTGGGCTGGAAGGCAAGAGCCCACATACCCAGGCCAAAGAGCAATGTCTCCCCATTGCTTCTTTCTTAAAAATGAGGCAGCGAAAATACTGGAGGTCTGTGGACACCGAGCAGTTGAGACATGATTCCATCTCACCTTCTCAATAGGGAACGAAGGATGAAAAAGCGAGGCTCTCGGGCGTCAGCAATCTCTTCAAATTTGAGATAAGTGCAAAAACAAGCCCTGTCTTGGACAGGTGCTCCCCCCAAAAGGAAAGGGGTGGGAGAGAACCAAGGGAAAACCAGGCAAAGGGACTGAGGAGGGTATGAGGAAGATCTTGAGGAGGAAGGGTTATGGAGGTGACAATGAGACTACACTGTATCCACCCAGGTCACACCAAGGGTAGTTGTTCAGGATAGGTATAGACTCCCCAGATCAATGAGCAAAGGGGTGGGCCAATCCATCAGCCGGGACCCAGATGGTGACAGAACATACAACCATAAGACCACCCACGACTACAGGACTCTACAATAGAAGCACCGGTCAGTGCCATTATTCACATTATAAGGATAAAACATCACAGGCCAAAAGGCTCCATTAGGAATGTGGTACCCGCAGGGCTGCGGGATGTGAAACTCCAACGCTTTATGACCTATGTCAATGCCTCCCCTCCCGTCTTCTGCTTCCTTGGCAAGCTATCTCAGCAGACGTTAGGTGCCCACAACACCAGGGTCATGGGCTGATTCCGGAAGTGGGGAATCGGAGCAGTGGTACAGGAAACAATTTCCCCAGCAGCTATAGCAGATGAGAAAGAGGGCTGCCAGGAAAACCAAGGCACATATTGTGCAAGGTTTCCGTTCCAGGAGGAAGCTGAGCAGGTAGAAGCCCATGAACATGGAGTGGCTGAACCACAGAGCGGGGTTGAGGGGCTTGGGGATGAGGAGGACGGGCAGCAGCCACTGGAGGCAATACATGATCTCTGCCGGGCAGGGCCTTCACCAAGGCTGCCAGACACCGCTGCAGGAACCGACCTAATGGGAGCCAGCAGGCACAGGTGGCTGCCCTCCGTTTTCTTCGACTCTCTCTCCAGGAGCTGAGCCGCTGTGCTCTCTGGCTGTCAGCCCGGGATCACCAAGGCAGCAGGGATCCTGAAGAGAAAAGTCAACACAACAGACAAAGAACAGACAGACAGAAAGACACACACAAAAAAACAAAAAACAACAAACAAAACAAAGAAACAAAAAAACAGGAACAAATTGTATACTTATTTGGGAAAATGGATCATGGTTAACAACAGCAAATGTGAATGCCCTTTCCTCCCTGCCCACCCATGAGTCTACTCCTACCCAAATGATTACTTTAAGATAGCCTCCTGGGGTTTGTCTTCCCTGGGCTTCTACTGGGGATCCCAGGAGGGCACGGTCCCCACAGTAGGCTGGCTTTGCCTGGGCCCTGCCCAGCAGAGATCATGTATCGCCTCCTGGGGCTGCAGCCCGTCCTCAAAGGCCCCAGACCTCACAACACCGCCCTGTGGCTGCCACAGGACACAATGGCTGGCTCTTGTGCCCCCGTGTGGTAAGGAAGGGCTCTGGATCCAGGCTCACATCTGCAGCTCCAGAGTGTGGTAGTGTGTCAAGTTGACAGCAGTATCTGTACCCTGCTGACCAGGAGAAGCTAGGCAGTGGATTCTCAGAGCCTGGCAAGCTATGGGAAGACACAGTAGAAAGCAGCCTGGACCATGTTTGCTTTTTGCAAATAGTTCAGCATAATTTATCCCAAACCAGCCATCTTCTTTGAAAAATCTATTTAAAAAAAAGAAAGAAAGAAAACCAAAACCACAATACCTAACTAACTTGGACCCTTAAACCTCCATCTTTTACTGACATTGACAGAAACGGGTTTCTGTAAGTATTTAATCAAAATTAATATCCTATCAAAATAGGGCAAATATCATTTGGCCTCTGTGCCAGGGAGCTGGCTGGAGAGATACTTTCTCCAGCCACTGGGACTGTGGGGATCCTCTACCTGCAAACAGCAATTTGGTCTTTCCACCCTTACCGGGATCTAAATGACCTGACTAACAGAAAGACACTACCTTTAGTTTGAAACTAGGAGACAGTAGCCATAACCCTTCGCGGCTGTAGCAAAATCCTATTTTGTGCTCCAGCCGCATAGCGAACTGGCACAAAGGCTCACTCTGGCTCAGGCAGACCTACCAGGGATTGGGAAAGAGGAGCACAAGACTAGCCGCAAATATGGACCACGTCTCCATAAAGCTCGCTCCTTTGGAACACACAAAGCACACCAATCCTTCCTACATCCCTCCCAGAAGAGATACAATTGCTTTAGCTACTAAGAGCAGAGTGCTGGTCCAGCTTGGGACCGAAGCCAACACCACCTGCTGGATAGAGCTGGAAGCTACAGTCAGAAAAGTGGTAATGATCAAAGATCCTCACAAAACAGCTGGCATGGGTTTAAAATCCAAGGAATATTAGGAATGCCGAAAAGGGATATACATTTTGCTTTCTTTCTTTTTATTTTGTTAAAGATTCATTTATTTATTTTATGTGAGTACATTGTTGCTATCTTCAGACACACCAGAAGAGGGCATCGAATCTCATTACAGACGGTTGTGAGCCACCATGTGATTGCCAGGAATTGAACTCAGGACCTTTGGAAAAGCAGTCAGTGCTCTTAACCACTGAGTCATCTCTCCAGCCCTACATTTTGCTTTCTAAGAGACTTCTCTAACTTCGGTTGCCATTCATATGAAAGGTGTATTTTGGCGCGCATGCGCACTTAGGTGGCAGGAGGGTACTTAAGGCGCGGCCACCAGAGCTGCAGCATTGCGCCCAGCAGCAGATTCCGAGACCAAACGGCGAACCCTTGTTCTCCACCACCCACCCACTTTCGGAACCATGGCCGCAGTGGCAGCAGCCTCGGCAGAACTGCTCATCATCGGCTGGTACATCTTCCGCGTGCTGCTGCAGGTGGGTATATACCCGGGCTCTGGGTGGGAGAGGGCACCCGAAACCCGTCCCGGGACCCCTTAATCCATATCGCGATTGCAGCCCCTACCCAACCCTATCGATCCCTGTGTACCAAAGTGCCGCGGTGGTACTATTTGTCCCCGCCCGTCCTCGTGCCCACATCCTCACACAGACCCTGTCCCCTGTGCACCCGCGCCCAGCCGGGAACAAAGACTCAGGGGTGCGGCGGCTGCGGACGATCAGGACCAGCGCGGTAAGAAACACCCGCTATTGCTCGATCCCAGGAGGGAGGCGGGGCACGTGTGTGCTGTGAGACTTTACAGCTCACCCAACAGAAAATTTTCACTTAAAAAATTGCGCAATGCGGGAAATTTTCTTTAAAATACACTATACAGACACACATAACACTTGAGTGGATGAGAAAGAAGTCAGAAAATGGCACTCCTCAGGAAAAAAAAATAACAAAAAGAATCTCAATAAATAAGAAGGGAAAGTAAAGGGGAGGAAATAGAGAAAACGCACATTGTAGGAAAAATGCCAGACAAAGGCACTTACTAGGAGAAAAATGGATTAGATAAACGAGCACTGGAAAAGAAACAAAAAAACGGGCGAAAAAAACCAGAATTGGAAACACTTTGAATAAAACAACAGAGGAAAATGCCCTTTGCAGGACAAAAATGGAAGGGGAAAGAACACTTCGTAAATAAAAAAAAAGAAAAAAAAAGAAAAAAAAGAAAAAGGAAAAAAGAAAAGAGAAAAGGAAAATAAAAGAAAAAAGAGGGCAAATCATTTTATGAAAAAGAGAGCACGCTCACATTCGCAAAAGTGCTTCTCTTAAAATCAATCTGGAGGAAAACGTTTTGTGCATAAAGCTATCTACCCTGAGAGCTCCCTTTGCAGGAATCCTGCTGAAGGAATGAATCCTTTGCCAAAGGAATCGCGTATTTCCTTCAAGGTGTTCTTGGAATGCTGCATGTACTGGGTAGGATTCACTTTTCGAAATCCTCCAGGGACACAGCCCATTGCGAGAAGTGAGGTATACTTAAGTTGTGGGTCCAATCAGCTTGCAGCCATGCAGCTCTCAGCAAAGCTGCAGCTGCCCTGACTGGTGGACAAGCTGTGCCTCTCTGGCCCCTCCAGGCTCTGCAGGACAGGCAGGAGGGGCTGGGGGCGGGGCCGTCCGGGCACACAGGAGAAGCAGCAAGCACCAGGAGCAGCAATAGCACACTGGGTCCTGGGTACTTCTCTCAGGGTGGGTCCTGGGTCTCTCACCGCAGGTGTTCAGGTACTCCCTGCAGAAGCTGGCGCACACTGTGTCCCGGACCGGGCGGCAGGTGGTAGGGGAACAAAGGCAGCGAGCCCCCAACTGAGGCCCCAGCTCCCTGCGCTGGGCGGCCGCGTCATCAGGTGCTCCTGTGCTTCTGGACCAGCATGGGAGCCAGTGCCGCACAGGAATATGGGGTCCCCTGTGCTCCCTCATCAGAGGAGCACTTGCCAAGGTCAGTGAGGGGCCGTTAGGCTCTCGGAAAAGCAGCATCGACAATGACAAAGATATCAGTTCCCTTCCTGGCCCCTTTGCCCCTGTCCCACTACCGGTGTGTGGAAGAGGAGGGGGTATAGGGGAGCAACCCTTAAGATATGGGCATAGGCACCACATTCTGATCTGGATCAAGTAGGAACAGCACCATCTCAGCCACACAAGATCCTACCACGGAGATCCAACACCCCATCAACAAGCAGAATGGACATTCTGACAACACCAGCTGAAGCCCCGAATCTTGGTGCAGAAGAGAAAGCATCAACTGTGTGCAGCATAGGGGGAGTGGAGGGCGTGGGTGGTGGATGAGAACGGTTAAGAAAACTAGTGGGGCCCTCTTGCTGTCCCTTGCCTATGGCATGCATATTCCTGACTTGCTCCCTCATTCCCCCTTTCCCCTGCCTTCCAAAGCCCTCCCCAAAATGTGTCAGTTGATTCTGACCTATTCAACCAGTAATTGAATCCCACCTTTACCAAAACACTGTCTCCAATTCCTGGCCCTTCCCTGATCTTGCTTATCCCTGGTCTCATGCAGCAGTTGTGGTCAATATGGTGGTAGTCGCTAATTGTACTGGTTTAAGTGTGCATTAGTTGTGTCTCCCCAGCTAGATTGTAAGCTCCTGGAGACAGGGACCACCTCCACAAAAAATAAAAAGACGGACCTCTTCTGTCTTGTAGAGTGTCCTAGGACCCTGCAGGGCAGTTGAGGTGCACCAAAGTTTTTTGTGGCTTTTTTTTTTTTTTTTTTGCGATAGCATCACATATCTCTAAAGCTGGGTAATGTACCCATTGTGGAGGGTCTCATCACTTGGAAAAGGGAGGAGAGGAGGGGGACAAGAAGAGAAGAATGAACTGAGGTTCTCATATCTGCCTCATTTAAATCTATCCTGAGATAAAGGACTATTTCTCATCCCCAATGAAAAGAGTGGTATTCATCTGTCCCAGAATGAGGGACATTTCTCCTTCCCCATGATGACAGGTGCATTTATTTGGTGGTGCTGAGATAAGGCACCATGGCAGGTTATCTACCTGGGAAGGATGGAGAGAAAGTAACTAGGACTGGCCCTCTAAATGGAATACTAAGGATCATGAGGGCTAATTTAAGAATATAAAGCCATACCACAGATCTCCACCCAGGAGTCCAAGGAAATGAATGCTGGGCAGCAAGAGGTGGTACAGCTGGGACAATGAGCATGAGAAGTGGCTCAGCCCCTTCTCCACTGTTTAAATGTTCCAGGCCCCAGGATCACACTAAGGCTGGCCATCCTGCCTGGCTTTTCCAACCCCATCTCTTAATTTTCTTAGTTCATCCTTAAGGGCCTTATCAGGTCGATAGCTTGCCCTTTCCCCTACCATTGCCTCAGGGAGGGTGGGCTAGCCCTTTAGTCCCCTTTCTTGGTTAGCCAGGGCTAGTCTTACAAGTGTCAGTTGACTGCCTCACCAAATGGTCCTGCCACCTGTTAAGCCTCATTTCTGGCTTCATCCATCCCTGTCTCTGCACACCTGCTCCCATCCCAATACTAAAGGAATGAGTTGGAAGGCCATCAGTCTCTCTTGCTATTTCCTGGAACTTCTTAGCCCTGGTTGTCACACCACAAACACTCAGGTGCACAAAGTACCTCAAAACTCTTGAAACTTGACCTTGCAGATCCCCCCAAAAAACCTCATTTTCAAACCGATCACTGGCACCTCTGAAGATACTTATAATTTCATTCAGCACCAGGGAATTATGGGGGAAAGTAGCACAGAATTTGGTGTGGCCTTGGCTTTTCTACTCATCAAATCACCTTAGGCTACCCAGCCAGGTTGCTTTTAGTTCCCCACTAAGGTCCAGATGAGCCCCATACACATGAGCGCCAGGATCCCGCAGGACTTGGATGTGACATGCATTCTAAGGCTTGGTCTTCCTCAGCAGGGTACATATAGCTGCTGGTAAGGCTTGAAGTTAGGTTGGGTCCTTTGTTCCATAGTCACTCATCTGCAGTCAGTGGCTACTTCCTTAATGGTAGAAATTTCTGTGGTTAGCCATACTAAATTCATTGAACCTTGAGTACATATCAACGCAGGTTCCAAATGAAGGGTGACTCTCCCTTTTATATCTATCTGTAGAGTAACTGAATTGGAGATTTGGAGTGGGGGGCCCGATGCCATTCTATTGTTCCATATGTTCTAACGTTAGCCCAAATTAGATGGCAGCTGAGTACACAAAGGCAAAACAGGGAGGAAGGAGTCTGGTTACTCTGGATATAGCATATCTTGTCCCCCCATCTCCCAAGCTAGGAAGCTACTGGTAACCCCAGGGCTTTCCAGATGATCTTGGTAAAACTTTATTCTTCCATCGATCATCCAGCAGTGATGAGTGCAGGTGGAGACTTGAAGGCAAGGTGTGCCCTGGTGAGCCTGAGAATGTGACATGTCCACTATCCACTTTCTTCTCACACTCCTCACCCTTCTGTCCTGACAGCAAACTACACCCTCCAGAGAAGGTAGTAACATGTTCACATCCATTCTTTGTGTAAAACCTGCAAACCTGATCCAAACATACCTATTTATAAAATGCTTCCACAAGCTATATATTAAAAGTTTATTCTCACATAAAGCAATGGGATATGTTTTCATTGCAAAATCCTTAGTACACAGAGCTAAATATCTTTTTCCTAAAGAGGTTGCTAACTCCAAAGAGGAGGAAAGGCAGAGCAGGTAGGTTGTGAGGGAAGTGGAATAGCTTTATGGGAATCTAGCAACATGTGAGACTCCAGGCACTAATGCTAGAGAAGGCTGTGTCTTGGCCTGAGCAGTTCAAGTTCAGTAGGGCGAGGTTGCTAAGTACCAGAACTTTTAGAGATGTGGGCTCTAGGGGACTTTTATGTCTATCTGAATTGTGACTGAAATGTATTTGAGGGACAGGACAGGGATTAAGATTTTTGGCTTTGACTCTGGGGCTGGCCAAAGATAGATTAATCACACAGAGGCTTTGAAGGAAGCAGGCTGGCTGCTGGCTACTTACTAGGTATCTACTTTCAAACTTGGATCACTTCAGGAGCCAACACCCCAAAGGGAGACTCTGAGCTGGCAGTTAATCTTCCCCAGGAGATTTAAATGTGTACACATAGACACAATACTAGTTTACCAAAGACTTTTTTCAGTTGACTACTGACTTCTTCCATATGCCAGAGACATGTTTGCCACATCTTCTCTGGAAAGATCCTGTCCTCTCGGCCCCTCCCTCCACAGGGTTCAAACCATAGCAGGATACAAATTCCTGAACATTCCCAGAGCAGAGCAGGAAGACAGAGGAAGGCAATACATGGCTCTTGGTAGATCACACAGTGACAAGTTTGAATGGAATGCAAGTGTTTCAAAGAGAACAAGAAAAGAGGGCAGCCTGACGCTCATTCCCCTTAGAAATAATAGGTAATAAGTTAAACTGTTTCAGCAGTTAACTTCAAGATGACCATTTTCAGATAGAGAATTGATCTGGTTCCTGGAAACTGACCAAGGTTCCAGAAATTCAATCTTTAAACAGGAACTCTTGGCATTAATGAAGTTTGACTCGAAAGAAACAAGCAAGCTCGGCCTAGCACTTGCCATGGGCACATACAATGGAACTTTTTGGGGTCCTGGCTTTGGTGTTGCAGTTCAGATGGCTGACAGGATGGTTGGACCATGTCAGGCAGGGCAGAGAAGCTGTCCCCAATGCATCAGTTTCCTGAAAGGGACAAAGAAGATCGGAACCTATAAACAGACATAGCCTATAAACTAGAACAGGCCCCAGTTTCCCATGTAAAAAAGAGACATGAGACCTAGAAAGAAGCTAAAGATGGTTTGTCAGGAGGAAAGAAAAATCGACTGTCCCCATCCCCCATCATTCTTCCTTTCCAGGCCAAGGCGAGTGTGACAGGCCCTCCCCTCCGTTGCTTCTGCTGCCCTTGAGGGCCACTCCCCACACACTGGAGAGGAACCGTTGTCCAGACTCAAAGAAAAGTTGGTGGGAGTGAGAAGCACAAGGGACCCGAAGTGGATGGTCCTCTATCACTCCAGACACAAAAGAGAGCGTTCGGGGCCCACTTCTACCTTCTCCCCACACTTCTTCGGATAGGGGGAAAAAGAAAAAGAGATCGAGAGAGAGAGAGAAAGAGAGACTGAAGTGTCGAGGAAAGAGTGTCCGGCCTCCCAGAAGCTGAGCCCCTTACCAAGGTCCTGAACAGAGGAGGTGGTGGTCGCGCTCGCCCCTCCCAGCCCCGTCCCGGGAGCGCGCTGACCTTGGAGGCCAGAGTGACAGCTAGGAATCCCAGAACCGACCCAAGGGGCAGGAAGGGACCCCCCAAGGCCCAGGTTGGGGCGAAAAGGGGAAGTCTCCTGACGCCAGACAAGGGTGCGCCCGCCCCCGGCCGCGCGGAAAGCCCGGGCGAGAGGCCAAGCGGCGCCTAAGGTGACCCCGGAGGGCTAACATGGCGGCGCGGCCGCGCCGAGCGCCTCTCACCCTGCCCAGGCGGGCGACGCCACCATACCTGCGAGCCCCGCCATGGCACTGCCGCCACTGTCGCCGTCGCTGCCACTGCCTGCCTCCACCTTAGCTCGCCACCGACGCCGCAGGAGCTGGGGAGACGCCCCCTTCGTCTTCTAGTGGAGCGGCCCAAGGACCTCCCCCCCCCCCCCGAGCAAAATCGGGCTGTCCTCTGCGGACGCCTGACAAACTGGCTCAAAGCGAGGCTACTCTCAGGCACTCTTCCTTCAGTATCCGCCACAAAATTTCCCTTCTGAACTTTTTATAGACTTGAATAAAATTATGGGGCGCTGAGGTCTTCAAATCCGTGGAATATTTGGTCAGGCGCAGTTTGGGCAGCCCCGAACCTCTGGCCCAAGGTCCCCTTCATGTATATGCAGCAGATTGTGATCCTTACTCTTTGAGAGCTCCCTGGGCAAGCGTGGTTTAGTTACGCTGAAGAGCCTGGTTCCCCGAAAGCTCT